AACGTGTAAGTGCATCTAGACCTTTAGTGGGCTTTGGTAAATTGAATGACAACACAATTAAAGGTCTAATAAATTTGCTAAGTGTTAAACAAGAAATTGAGTCTATTGCATATACTTGTGGGTTGTGTATTAACAAGTATATACAAGGTTCAACTAGTAGGCAAACTTAATGGTATGCCACATTGTGTTAAAGTGAATGACAAACTGTGTATTGTTGTATTGGAAGTTTATGGAAGCAATCTAGTTCAAGCAAAAGACAACAATGCAAATTGAATCAATAAAATGGCTTTTATGTTGTGGGATATCATAGCATCATGTGAAAGCAAATATACTTGGTAAATGATAATGTATAGTTGATATAAGTTGGTCTCTACATTGGTTTGCTTACATGGATGAATATATGAAAGATCAATTGGAATGTCAAGCCAAAATGAGAAGGGAATAAGGAATCATGAATTAGCTTGACCATATTGATGTTGATCCATGTATGTCTCTATGTGAGACGAACTGAAGCTTGATTGATCTCAACATTCATATCTAGAAAATATTCAAGCAAAGATCAAATATATTGAAGAAATGGTTTTCAATGGATGCTTAATATAATGTGACTTAAGTATGGCTTGATAGGGTGAAGATAGCAAGGAAAGGGCTTCGAGGTACTAAGTGAAGGTGAAAGGCAAGCAACTGCTTGGCAATCGAGGTACCATGGCTAAGGTGAAGAAGAGAGTACTTGCATTGAGTTGAGGTACTAATCAAGCTATGAGGAGTCATATTGTGTTGAGGATCAAATCATTAGTGGAAGTGACTTGAAGCCATGAAGGTGAACTCATATGTATGGAAATGGTTCAAGTCACATAATCAAGGTATAATGAGAATGAGGAAAACATATTCGATAATAGAAGTCCTCAATTGCTAAATGAAGTGGTAACCAGCTCAAAGGCATTTACATTCTTTTATGCTTTGAATTTGAGTTTAGGAAAAGCCGTACTATAAAGAGGGATTCTATTATAGTTGGTCAACTGTGCAACCAGATGCTCAAAATTACAAATCTATATCCTCTTACCCAGCCAAAGCAGCCAGCCAAAAATCTCCAGATTCTACCTGTTTTGGCTAGGGCGGCAGTACCGCCCATAAACGACCGTTGGACCCAAGAGGTATAAATACCATTTGGGCCGGCCCACAACAGAGATCCTTCTTCTCCAACGGTTCAGTTCGAAACTGAACAGACCAAAGCTCACCTCTCTCTCCTCCATTGTTGCTCCTTCATCCCTCAAGCAAATCCTTGATTTCCACCATCAAAACTTGAGAGAAAAGACAGCAAAACTCAATTGGAGAGAAGATCCACTGATTCCCAAAGTCTAAGAGCATTTGGTTCACGTTTGGCCAACGGTTCTAGGGTTTGTTACTCTTGGAGCTTGCTCCTAGCCGGCTAGGCGTCGCCCTTGTGCTTGCCAACTCGTGTGGCAGCCTTGGGAGGTTTATAACCTCATCCTGCAGCTAAGAAATTACCTCTTACTTCAAGAGTTCATTCTCTTGATTTGAGAACGAGGGCAAGGCAAGCCTTGGTGGTGAGCCAATCCTTTTGTGGATGCCTCAACAACGTGGACTTAGGCAAGCCTTGGTGGCAATCTGAACCACGGGATAAATTTTGTGTCTCGCGTGCTTCACTTGGTGTTCTTACTGGTTCAGCTCTTTGCTAGCTGTTGTTAGGGTTTGATAGCTCGATCCTCTCTTGTGTGAGATTTCTGTGGTATCCAGTCTTCGAACTGGATTTTGCATTTCTGTTGCAGGATTGAGCAGCTGAGAGGGTCTAGTTACTATCTGTAAAATCCTCAACGCTGTCTGCTTTATTTTTGAACAGTGGTAGTGCCGTTCTATAAGGCCGACAGTGCCGCCCTCTGTTCTAACAGAGTTTCGAGTTGAATTTGCAGGATTGAGCAGTTGAGAGGGTCAGGTTACCATCTGTGAAATCTCAACACTATCTGCTTTATTTTTGAAGAGCGGCAGTGCCGCCCTCTGTTCTAACAGAGTTTTGAGTTGAATTTTTACAGGCCTATTCACCCCCCCTAGGCCTCCTAGGCGACATCAAGGTCCTTTCACAACGGCGTAGTGGTCAAACGAGTAGGCCGGCTCCGTCTTCGATGCGTACGTGACAATGCCGGGAAAGTGTTGCCTGCACAGAAGACCCAGGATGTCGTTGACTACCCATGCGTTACCACCCGACACAACCACCCAATTCCTGCACAAGTGATTAAAAAAATTATTAGTTTTTTTTCATCATATCATATGAAGTAGTGGTGATAACATATAAAGTTACTTACTTTTTTTTGCCTTGAAGCGAATCATCAAGGCGTTGGTGAGAAGCGGAAACACAGGGAGGCTCGCGGGACCTCGCAAGTAGACACTCGAAGAGGAGTCGGAGGAAGCGGAACCCGTGCCTGCCGCCTCCAACTCGTCGTCCTCGTGCGGCCCCTCCTCCTCGTCCGTCTGCCGAACCAGCTCATCGTCTGACTCGTCCACGGGCGCCACCTCCTCCTCTGGCTCCTCCTCACGCGGCGTGGGAGGAGACGGCCCCCTACTGCGTCTGGCGGTCCTCCTCCTCCTCCTGTCCGATCCCTCCGCCGCCCCCTCCACCTCCTCCTGCAGTCGACGTGGTCTTTGGTAAATCGAGTTTACGGACCTATGACGGTCGCTCGCCATCTTTATTCAATCACCTGCAATAAAAAAGAAAAACAAGACATAATTAGAAATAGGTGCAAAAATGAACAAAACATAATTACAAAAAACATAGCAATACATGTATCTGATATCACATGTAGAGATGTCCTGGTTTGTAAGCATTGTACGTGACAACGTGCACGAAATCTTCTAAAATTTTATCATAGCCTCCACATATGATATCATGACATCTCAACAAGTTTCATGATTTTCGGACTTCGTTTGCTTTTTATAGAATTGAAAAACACTTCGCACGCAAGTTTGCGGTCATGTTTCGTTAACAAGATGTCCAAAATTTCGGGTCCGTTCCTGATACGAACTCACACTACACTCACTAACATGACTATCAATTTTTGAATCATTAAATTCCATTATTCGTACCACGTGCAATTCAAATTTATATTTTTCGAAAAAATTCAAGGAAACGAAATAAAGTAACTAAATATATAAAAAGCCACAAAAAATCCCCAAATTCTAACTAGGAGTTCCTGGTACTTTAAAAGGGCTGCACAAAAAATTTGAAGACCAAAAACAAAAAAACTTTGCCGAGTGCCAGGGCATGGCACTCGGCAAAGGGGGTCTTTGCCGAGTGTCAAGAATAAGGCACTCGGCAAAGAGGGTTTTGAATTTTTTTTAAAAAAAATTCTCTTTGCCGAGTGCCTTCACAGGGCACTCGACAAAGTATTTTCAAAAAAAAATCTTTGTCGAGTGTCAGATCTGGGACACTCGGCAAAGAATTTTTTTAAAAAACCTTCTTTGCTGAGTGCCAGATCTGGGACACTCGGCAAAAATTTTTTTTTTAAAAAAAAACCTTCTTTGCCGAGTGCCTAACAGCAGACACTCGGCAAAGAAAGACGTGCCCGATTTTTTACATTCGGCAAAGAAGTTTGCACTCGGCAAAGATCCCGTTTCCAGTAATGCCTAATCTATTCCAGAAAAAGAAAGAAAAATAGCTCCTTATTATAGCGTAGAATATTTCCTAGAAATCGAAGGCGTTTGTTAGGAGAAGCCATCCCAAACGGGGGTTAAGTATCTTACCCTACTTGTTTATTCCGGCGGCAACACGATTGACCGTAAAATTTTTACATTCGGTAAAGAAATTTGCACTCGGCAAAGATCCCGTTTCCAGTAGTGCCTAATCTATTCCAGAAAAAGAAAGAAAAATAGCTCCTTATTATAGCGTAGAATATTTCCTAGAAATCGAAGCAGTTTGTTAGGAGAAGCCATCCCGAACGGGGGTTAAGTATCTTACCCTACTTGTTTATTCCGGCGGCAACACAATTGACCGTAACACGTGTATACGTGTAGTTAGAACTCAATCGCAGGCAGCAGTAAGGGTGAGAGCCACCATACAATGCGAAGGAGACAAGGGGATCCATCGATATGATCCCACAAAGCAAAGCAATGCAATTGATATTAGATATAATAATCCTGTTTGCGAAGCCAAGAAGTACAATCGTCCTTGGGAGGCGAAACGGATTAGCGATGGAGCGCATATACCGGAGGTATATATAGAGGGAAGGAAGAGGCTAGCTGGCTTGCGCTGATCCGAGGCCTCATCTGCTGGCTACCTATTTGTCTGCAGGTAAACGACGACGACGACGACGAGAGAAGCAGGCAGGCATGCAGCTGCTGGTGAGTGACCATATCCGATCGAGTACTAGCTCGCTCGCTAGGTCCAACGCCGAGAACAAACACCCCATGTGGTCTCGATCGCTAGCTCCTCGACCCCCCCCCCCCCCGCCCCCCAACCTATGAGTCTATGACCGGCCGGCCTCGCTCGCGCGTCGATCCAGCCAGCAGCACCAGCACCAACCGATACACCATGTATCATCCCCCCTCCGTCCCCTCTCCACCCTATCCATCCAGCCGGCCCCTACTAGCTGGCCAGTAGAAGCCCAGAAGCTAAGCCAACCCAAGCTCAGCATCGTCGTCGCTCTTCTTCTACTTCTTCTTCTTCGCTGCTATAGCGAGCGGCTAGCAGCTGCTGCTGGCCTACTCTCAGTCGTCAATCAGTACGTACTACGTACACAGCTGCAAGGACAGCAAGAGCCGCAGGACTCCTGCAGTACCTGCTGCTCCTTCATCATCTCCCCTCCCCGTGCACAAGGTTGTACGCGCAGTTTCCTTATCAAGCAACCATCTAGATTCTTAAATTGCACTAGCTAGCATACGTGGTAGTACTAATAAACTTGCTCGTGTGTCCATCTTTTTTTCATGAATAATATCATATATATATATAGCACCGGAGAGCGCAGGCCGCAGGTCGAAAGAAGAAGCCGATGTGGGAGTCGGAGAGCGAAAGCCATGCCGGCGAGCGCGGGCTCGTCCCCGTCGGCGGCTCCTCGGGACGGCACGAGGCGCTCAAGAACGACAGCTTCGTTCGCAGAGACCAGTCCTGGTATACACACACTTCGTTCATCCATATATTATCCTGGTTTGATTATCATTTGCTCTTCTTGTCCAAGATAGTAACTGATGATTTTAGCTGTGTCTGAACGATCTGAGCAGGTATGTTAACAGTGGTATTCCCAGCGATTTGCTTGTCAAAGTTGGAGATGTCAGCTTCCATCTTCACAAGGTAGGTAGCTAGAGTGGTCTATCTATACATATGATGCTTAATTAAAGCGTTCAAAGTTGAGGGAGTGTGGAGTTTCTACTTTGTTATTTCTTAATTTGTTCTCGTACGGATTGCAACAACGATACAGTATATTCCTGGCACGAAATGGGCCATGGATTGATGAAGCTAATTCCATGCATGCACACGCTTGCTTGTTTAACTGATGTCCCAAACTCCATGCAGTACCCGATGATCTCCCGGAGCGGGCGGATGAGCCGCGCGATCTACGAGACGGCGTCGGCGGCGTCCTCGGACCCTGCGGGCGACATGGCGTCGGCCCAGGCCGTGGTGGTGGAGCTGGACGACGTCCCGGGGGGCGCGGACTCGTTCGAGCTGGCGGCGCGGTTCTGCTACGGCATGGCGGTGGACCTGACGGCGGGCAACATCTCGGGGCTCCGCTGCGCCGCCGAGTACCTGGAGATGACGGAGGACCTGGAGGAAGGCAACCTCATCTTCAAGACGGAGGCGTTCCTCAGCTACGTGGTGCTGTCGTCGTGGCGGGACTCCATCGTGGTGCTCAAGACCTGCGAGGGGCTCTCGCCCTGGGCCGAGAACCTGCAGATCGTGCGCCGCTGCAGCGAGTCCATCGCCTGGAAGGCCTGCGCCAACCCTCGCGGCGTGCGGTGGGCATACACCGGCAGCAGCGGTACCGGTGGTGGTGGTGGTGGTGGCGGCGGTGGTGGGAGGCCGCCCAGGGCCGGCGGTGGCGTGGCGAGCCCGCGGTGGAACCTCGGCGGCGGCGGCGGGGACTCCAAGGAGTCCAGCCCCGGCAGGCAGGCCGCCGTGCCGCCGCCGGACTGGTGGTTCGAGGACGTGTCCGTGCTCCGGATCGACCACTTCGTGCGCGTCGTCACCGCCATCAAGGTCAAAGGTACCAATGATACCAACCGCTTGCTTAATCACACTGTATCTGTACGTTTTATTAATTTATTTACTACTCCTGTTTAAGCTAGTTGATTAGTACTAGCTAGCCCTAGCAGTGCTTAATTAGATCGATGGACGACGATCTATACACGTAGTGATCCAGCTACATGAGTGCAGTGCATGCAGCCCGCCCGGATTATTAGTCCCGTTCAATGTTCCTCCTGTCGAGAAAACAACATTTTTATCTGTGTGCATGTGAGAGAAACAAAATAATATTTTATGATGGAAGTGTCATGAACAGTGAAGCACAGTGTACGTTGTTCAAGCTGTGCCAAGACACTGCCACAATCACATTAGTTGCCGACAGTGAAGCTGGGCCCAGTGGGATAGGGACAAATCAAGCTTTACTCCCAGTAGTGACCCAGCCGGCCGTTACGTTCCCGGCTTTACCAAATCACTAGTCCCATATCCTCTGCTTTTCAAATTGCATGACAAATGTTACATTTAACAGTAGCGATTGAATCCTGTAAAGCCAAAGGAAGGTAGAATTTTGATCCATTTTTCTCCACAAAAACGAGACAAAACTATCCCGGTAACCCTGTCCAACATTGAAAACCAGTGCAAATTACGCCAACTGTTGTTCTCATTGGCGGTCTCGTGTGATGTTGGAATGTCGGAGCCACACACACATCGCTCATTTTGAGTGACAACTGACAAGTCGTCACATCGTCCTTTCCATTCTCTTGGAAGACATGCCGGCCACATCGCCAGGAGTCAGGAGACGTGGGAATGGGACGCTCGGAGATCCTTTCATTTGCCAATCAAGATGAATGCAGAAATTGTGGTAAAAACACAGCGATGTTGATGCCAGTTACGTGCTCATCACCAACAAACCCTAAACATAATTTGCATCAGTTGAGACTTGAGAGTTGGGAGATGGGCTGTATGAATCTGATTTTGGAGATGAATAGGAACTATTGATGTTTCAGAACATTATATGATTTGTGTGCGTGAAAACTGAAAAAAAATTGAAACCTTTTTCTCTTTGTGGGTAGGCATGCGGTTCGATCTGATCGGCGCGTCCATCACCCACTACGCGTCCAAATGGCTCCCGGGGCTCACCAAGGACGGCCCGCACGACGGCGCGCTGGACGAGCCCTGGGCTCAAGCTCAGGCGTCCCCGGGGGGCGGGCTCCACATGATCATCGCCAGCGGCAGCGGCGCCGGCGGCAGGGACCACACCGCGGGGAGCGCGCCGGCGCGGGAGCAGCGGATGGTGGTGGAGAGCCTGATCAGCATCATCCCGCCGCAGCCCGACAGCGTGTCGTGCGGCTTCCTCCTCCGCCTGCTCCACCTGGCCACCATGCTCAAGGCGGCGCCGGCACTGGTGACGGAGCTGGAGAAGCGCGTGGGCATGCAGCTGGAGCAGGCGGTGCTGGCCGACCTGCTCATCCCGTCCTACGGCCGCGCCGACACCGCCTACGACGTCGACCTCGTGCAGCGCCTCGTCGAGCACTTTCTGGTGCAGGAGCAGACGGAGCTGCTGATGGCGTCGTCCAGCCCCCCCGGCCGTGCCGGGGACCAGCCGTCGGTGCTGCCCGAGTACTACGGAGCCAGGACGGCGGCCGCCGCGGCTCCGGCGTCGGGGGGGCTGAACGCCAAGGCCCGCGTCGCCCGGCTGCTCGACAGCTACCTCTCCGAGGTGTCCCGCGACCGCAACCTGTCCCTGACCAAGTTCCAGGTGCTGGCCGAGTCGCTCCCGGAGTCGGCGCGCTCCTGCGACGACGGCCTCTACCGCGCCGTCGACTCGTACCTCAAGGTATGTACTAGGTAGCTGATCGATCGATCATCAGCTGCTTGATACTGCTGTTGGTTTCACTTTTCTTTCGTTCTTGACATCAGGCGCACCCGACGCTGACGGAGCACGAGCGGAAGCGGCTGTGCCGGGTGATGGACTGCCAGAAGCTGTCGCTGGACGCGGGCATGCACGCGGCGCAGAACGAGCGGCTGCCGCTGCGGGTGGTGGTGCAGGTGCTCTTCTCGGAGCAGGTGAAGATCAGCAACGCTCTGGCCAGCTCGTCCTCCAGCGCCGCCTCCGCGCTGCTGGCCAACAAGGCGGCGGCGGACGCCGTGGTGGCGCCGCTGCAGCCGCCGATGTCGCGGCGGCAGCTGCTGGACGGCACGCCGCAGTCGTTCCAGGAAGGGTGGGCGGCGGCGAAGAAGGACATCAACACGCTCAAGTTCGAGCTGGAGAGCATGAAGGCCAAGTACCTGGAGCTGCAGCACGAGATGGACGCGCTCCAGAAGGTGGTGGAGCGCGGCGGCGCGCCGTCGCCCGCGGCGGGGCCCAAGGCCGCCGCCGGCGTTGGTGGAAAGAACCAGAGCCAGGGGCCCTCTCCGTGGAGCAGCGGGTGGAAGAAGCTGGGCAGGCTGGCCAAGATGACCGTCGGCGACGGGGCGGGGCAGGACGGGCACGTGCCCGGAGCGCCCGGAGAGGCGCCGAGGAAGCCGCGGAGGTGGAGAAACTCCATCTCGTGAGCAGAGCAGAGCCGGAGGGAGCACAGCAGCTTCGTTCGTAGCGAGCTGAGTAGACGGCTGGCGGCGGCCTAGTAACTTGTAGCAGCACCCATTTTCATGCATGCAGTACAGATTTCATGGAGTTCTTTCGAGATTGGAACCAATGCAAAGCACAAAGCAGAGCGGCCGAGATTGCGCGTCTGCGTGCGTGCAGGCTGCAGACTGTCCTAGGCGAAGAAGATCGTCTTCGTCTCGTCCCTTTCCACTTTCCAGTGTGTGTGCTCCTGCATTTGCCATGTTGTCATCTGTTTTGTTTATAAACATAACAGGGTTAAAATGCCGGCGCTCGAAACAGGGCCTCAACCATGCAAATCAAACCTGTTTGAATCCTCAGTGTTTCTCTTTCAGAGGACGGTGGACGCCTGCCTCTCGTGATGCACGAGCACGACAGCAGTGAGTGTTCACATGGTAATAGTGTGCACGAAATAGCTAGCTAGTAGGATGCGTCCAACAAGACAAGAAGGAAGGTATGGAAGAGTGCTGGCGTGTGGTCAGTGCGGCGTCCCTGTCCGTCGGCTCGGCTGGCTCCTGGGCTTTCGTTGCGCTTGCGCTTGCGCTTATCTACGGGCATCGACTGCGACACATTCGTAGCGTGCTCCCTGCAGCTTCGCTCTCATCCTTGTCGCCTCTCATTCCTGCTGCTCTCACTCACACTCGCACGGCCACGGGCGCAAGATAGCGAACAGTTGATGCATTGCCGCAGGTGTCTGTTTGCATCCATGCTTAGTTCCTGCCTCTGCAAGAACTGACTACCTGAAACAACCGCAGCTCCGTGACAACAACATCGTTACCAGGGATGAACCGTCCTTTCAAACAAAATATGTCGAGTCAAAAAAAAAAAAGCAGTCCCCAATTAAGGCCAAGCTGCCCTCAGACCAAGTACTGTGCAGATCAAACATAAAACTGGATAAAAACTGCAGGGGAAGCAACAAGACAGGGCCTCTGCTTCCCTTGCAAATCTGTAGGAATTTGAAACACTGCCTACTATGCCCAATGCCCCATGGGCCAAGAACTGTTAACTTTACATACATGAGACATGCATATCACCAGAAGAGGCAGTGAACTGAATTATTATTAGCGCATTCAACAAAATATGAAGCCAACAATAACTCCAAACTGAAGCGAAATCACCTGTTGCGCAGGAGCCTCAATACAGTAATCCCACAGCATTATATTTACAGCTAACAGAATATAGAGAACAGCCAGTAACCTCATCATGTTCATACAGCATCCAAGCAACATTAAGGACGGACAACGAGTATTCATCTAAGGCAAATTGTGACCACTCCAGTATCATCCATTCAGAGGATTTAGGCTTAGGCAGCTGGATCAGCCTACGGAGGTTTTCATAGAGAAACAATGAAAACTTCTTCAAAACAAATATAAGCAGCCTAGCCTCGAACATGTTACATGCTACTCTGTCATCTCGAAACTTGTTTCTGGCACCACCAACAGATTCAGAATATGCTTTCAAAACAGATTCAGAATATCTGTCATCTACTCATCTTGAAGCTAGTGGTTTGGGCCAAAGGAATTGGGTATTCGCTGTCAACGCCTTCCCAAAAACTATCCATGGACACATCTGTTATCCCAAAGTCTAATGTGCCCTGTGGACATGGCGGCTCGGACTTCTTGCTCCAGACGTGAAGAGTGGTGACCATAGTGTTGACCATAGTCACAACTTTTACCCAACGTTGACGGGGGGCTTTCTCCAATGATCACCTCATGTTTCAGATTGTCATATGCTATCGCCTTGGAGCCTTGCACTATACCCTGAATGTCCAGAGAAATTGTCTTGATTTCTTATGCTAGAAGACTAGATGCATACATGCAGGGATCATGCATGCGCACATATAGATGTGCCTCCAAATATAAACATGTACGATTTTTGGTGCAACTTTGCTTAGGTGAGATTATGCAAAATGGCAATGGGATTCAATAGAATTAACAGAAAAAGAAAGGAGTTGCTATATTTTAGGTGCCTGAATTTTCAGGCAACAATCTTTGACAATCAACTGGGACAATTAAAAAGACACTTCGGCACCTGAAATATAGGAGAAGGGTATTCATCATAAACTTGGGAGTTGCTATATATCATATGGCAACAATTTTTGACAATCAACTAGTACAAATTAAAAGCCAATTCATTTTTTTGTATTATAAACAATAATAACATTACATGTTATCTGAACAACAATAAAAGATCAGACACCTGAATAACGGAAGTGAAAAAAAAATAAGGTATAGTTGAGGTAGGATCTAAACGTGTACACATACTATAAGTTGGGTCTAGAAATTGCTCATGCTTTCAGTTAAATGCATGGATTTATTATTTAAATATGGATATACAGATTCCATGACATAAATAAGCTATTAAATACAGCAATCTAAACTATTTTGAGTTCCATAAACCGGCCTGAAAAAAGGAACGAAAAATAAACGAATACCAATTTAAATGAAACTTTGAAAGGCAGTGCACACATGTCAAGTTATGAAAATCAGTGTAGTAATTACCTTCTAAGTATTGTTAAGTTCTTCTTAAGAAGTGTATTTACCACTGAATTCTGCACCAACAATTTGGTATAGTGAGGTGAAGAAAATTGTAGTGTCCGTTCCAGGAATGCGGTATGAATAACGTTCAGGTCCTGGTTTACAACTAAGAGCATGTCCAACTATGATGTTCCAATCATGGTCTGGGATATTTTGACAAGCCTGTACCATATGAAACAGGTTGTATTAGATACCTATTGACATCATAAAACGTTACCGGAGAGCATAAGCGAATGAGTTGATGATAGAACTTTTTTCTCATACTTCACGCAGATTGTTTGTATCCTTATTGTAGAACCACAAAAAGTCTTTAACCAGATTTATGTTCGTCTTCTCCAGTTGCTTGTGCCTGTCACCATTTTCTCCAATTTTCTTCAGCTTGTATATCGGGTCACTTAGAGATGGAAACAGATCCTTCTTTTTCTCTGTAGAAGCAGGGCATTGATATTTGACAAAAATTAAAGGTGTAGGGCATAAAAGTTTTAGATGGAAGTACAGGCCTGATATTTCTAGAGTTTTAAGGCCTTACTACTATACAGACAATGATGCTGTGAGTAGGTCTTTAAGTAGCTAAATTAGAAGTTACCATCCTTTATAAAAATAAATATGCTTGTGGAAAATAATCATGTCAAAGAGGGATCGTAAACATAACAAAAGAATTACATTACGATCATCTTTGCATTCATTTCCCCACAATTAGCTACCATAACAATAGCTTTTCACTAGATTCACTTATCTGCTAAAGGAAATACAAACAAGACGGGAAATGTTGACATGAAGAGAAGCATGTATGAGTAAATGGAGCAATATAAAAACTTACGGTAACCGCGACCATCCTTTACAGCAAAAGATTCAGATATTCCTTCCAGAATTTTTTCTGATATATTATCATCATCTGCCATGGCTCCCAACTTGAACTTCTTGCTTGGAACAAAACTTGAATTGTCTTGGAATTTGACGCCACAGAGTGGAGCCACACCATTTTCAAGCCTTAGATACAGTTCATTGGCAAACAAAGGTTGTTTTCCTGGCCGGCAGTGTACTATGCTGGTTTTGAAGGAGTTTTCATTCCACTGCTCTTTATTTTCCTTGTCAAACTCACCATCCAGGACAACAATCTTAACTTGAATGGAGGATAAGGGTCCATTTGTGATGACCCTATTTTCTTGATCATATATGGCTACCTTAACAGGAGTTCCATCATCCAGGACAACAATCGATTTACTTAGTTTGACCCAGAATCCCTAGTATATGAATGTTAGAAGTTAAAGATGTGCTTCAACCCATCAAAAATTTCCATTGTAATTATATGCTCCTGTTCTTCTTAATCGAAAAAACTATATGCTCCTGTTCATAATGTAAATATATTAAGTTTCATTTTATAATCACTAATGGAGGATTAGGTGTACTTAGTGTGCATCCGGCGTTCTTGGCTTGGTTTCTATCAAGTGAAGTTTGAAGACTTATTACTCAGTATTTGCCAGCACCTAGACAGCCCATGGGAGGACTAGGTGACTTTCTAGATGGACCGATGGAGTTACTTTGTCGCTTGTCATAAACCTCCTAGAGATGTTTTCGGTTTGAAATCCGCCAATCCGGTGAGAAGGGGTATTCCAGTCTTGGTGACAAGTGAGCATAATAGAGTCCTGGTGACTCTTCGGTGCTCCAACATGGATTAGGGGTAGTGGCAATTACCTGAGACCATGGGAAAAAATTCAGTTGTTTCTTTTTTGTCATTCTTGCATTTCCTTTCTTGTTTATTTTTGTATTTCACACTTGCTTGGTTGGAAGTTCTTTGAGTAGCAACTAGGATTGCTTCTCCATGTTACAGTGTGCTTAGGCATAGTTTTTAAATTCCGCAACTAAGGACCTTATCTTAGTGTGATCAGGAGTAAGGAAACTGTTTGACTTTAAGGCCCTAAGGACTTGATTTAGTACAATCTTTTTAGTCTTAAATCTTAACCATGCAAAGGGTGTGTCGTTTGATCGTTTCTGCATAGCCTAAGGTTTGTTGCTCTAAATATTTTAGAGACCAATTGTCGGTGTTTCGAGTAAACACTAACTAGTAAATTTGTATTTGTTGCGCGTTGGGCTCGGATGGTGTGCTAAAAGACACAAGGTTTATACTGGTTCGGGCAGAATGTCCCTACGTCCAGTTTACAGTTTACTGCTGCTGCTCGTGTTATTAGCACTGAAAGGTTCGTAGTAGGGGTACAAACGGTCGAGAGAGGGACAGGTCCCAAGTCTCTGATGGAAAGATCGAACGGGTGCTGAGAGCTTGGTTGCTGCTTGGCTGTGTGTTATGTGATGCGTGGTGTGTAGAATTGATCCGTCCCCTTAGTGGGGTGCCCTGCCTTCCCTTTTATAGATCAATGGGGAGCAGGGATTACAGATGGAAGAAAGAAGAAAAACCAGAGGCAAAAAAATGTCCTTCGAAGGTGTCGGGTCTTTCTTTTCCTTTAAGCCTACCCTACTGACACGGCAGACGGTGTCAGGGATAGCACGTTCGGTGATCTTGATAGGGCCATGCTCTGGCTTCGTTCAGCAAGTGGTCACGTCCCATCCCACCCCAGCGGGCGGCGCGACGCACCAGGGTGTCGAGTCACGACCCTACGGGGAGCAGAGGGCGTAGAGGCCCCACGTTTGTTACTGTAGATGACATGAGTTTCCTCTTGGACCATAGTGGTTGTCGTATGTTTCCGTCAGGATTTGTGTCTGAGGGCAAATGCCGGCGCCCATAACACTGTAGGACAAATGTCGGCACCCACAACACTGTTTGGACTCTAACATGCCTGAAAGGGCTTAAAGCGCCCGTCTGGTCATATCCTGATGGTACTTTCCTACAGGCGTGCAGGGTATGGTCCTCGGTATTGCGGTTGACTTGAGTGCCCCGCCTTATATGCACGTGTAGTTATAAAGGAGTAGCGCATAGACGTCGGGCGAGGCGGAGTCTGCCCAAAGAAGTCGGGCGAGGCGGAGTCTGCCCCTGGACGTCGGACGAGGCGAAGTCTACCCCTGGACGTCGGGCGAGGCGGAGCCCAGCCTCTGGACATCGGGTGAGGCGGAGTCCAGCCCTCGGGGGTCGGGCGAGGCGGAGTCTGCCCTCAGACGTCGGGCGAGGCGGAGTTCAGCCCTCGGGGGTCAGGCGAGGTGGAGCCAGCCCTCAGGGGTCGGGCGAGGCGAAGCCAACCTTTGGTCGTTGGGCAAGAAGTGTAGTTGCGTTCTTGTCTGTTCGGAAGCATCAATGTTTGATGGTTATTATCTCCTCTTCTTTGGGTACCCCAGTATTCGGTCCCCGACAGTAGCCCCCGAGCCCCCGGGTGAAGCGACCTGATTTCCGCGAAGGGAAATCCATAGAGTCGAAGTGTAATAAGACCATTGTAGATCATATTACCAAAAATTCCAGTCGAATATCACACCCATACAACGTAATATCAGAGTATAAATAGTACGGAATTACATAAATTATTACATCGCCGCATTGGCGGAATCAAATGTAGCATTCATTCAGAACAGCTTGAAGATAAGATCGCCAAACTTGAGCATAGGAACGAACCCCTCAACCATCAAACTCCTCAGAGCTATACTCCTCAGCAGAACCTGTGTGCCAAAATTTATCAGTACGATTTGTACTGGCCACTCCCACCCTATGAGCATTGCTTTGTGGAAATTGGATGCAAGTTGGATATAATCAAAAGGAACCTATAAGGCTGGGGTTTCCTATGTATTAGCATATCAAGTATATAATAACAGTTGGTCAAGTTTTAACACCATTCCCACACCCATTCCACCCCATTTCTGTCTAGAGCCAGGTTTTGATCCTGGGATCGAAACACCACCATCTCCACACTATCACCATACCATCGCTCAGTCGATAGGCGAACTCCCTCTCGGCACTGTCTCATGGCCCGTAGCCCCTGGCTACGTCCGAACACTCACTCCCAGGGGGAGAAGAGAAGGACTCATCTCACTATCTAGTTTAAGCGAAACCCAGGAAAGGTTCATAGCCGACAAGTCGGTATATGTATCGATCGATCAACCATACACTCTGCAGAGGTTTTACATAACCACAAGATCCGCCTTCCTCGCTGACCATCGTCAACTGGGCTGATTCCGGCCGCTTGCTAGCCTAGGATAATGCCACTCTACCATTCAGCCCTGGTACACCCCAAGTCTGGTCTGGGGTGGCTGAAACTGTGAGTCATGAACCGGGTCCACAAGGTTTCCATGAAGTCTTAGAAGGGTGTGGGGGGAATCCTCCGTGCCCCGTACCTCCCTCACACTGTCCACTATCAACCTAGTAGTAGTGGCAATATCCTACCAAGTAGTCTGGCCGTCCCGCACCATATAGGGCGAGTGGTACGTAAGGCTTCCTGGTGAATCTGAGTACTAGTAAGTCCCTAGGGATGACCAAGCCAGAATGTCTTCATCAGGGTTTCCATTTACCGTGCCACCACAGCACCTCCACCCCGGGCTCCTCCCATCACAGGTTCACACCTAGGGCCACCTCATATACCATTTACCCACCACAGGTATCCATTTCCAGGGGTGCCCAGGTAGCACCCCGCGGCAAGACTTGCCCTAGGCTCGTCATATATTCCAACTTGGTCGACACAACCCTCACCCTCCACGCACCCAAGTCACACACGCAGCACTCTCCTCATAGTCCAGATAACATCAGTTTCCACCACGCATCAATGTAGTACAAGTGTAGTAGAAGTAATAAGCAATGAAATATAGCAGCAAGCGTGTGTCTAGCCTAATAGCAGGGTAAGCAGGGGTAAGGTTGCGTCAAGGTAAAGGCCATCAAATAAGCATACTACCATGCAAGTCCTATCATAGTGTGAATATAACAATAAAGTAAAGCAATAGCAGTTCTATATTAGCCATGCGTAATAGGTGCTACGAGGTTGGGTGGGATGTGGCACCTTCAGTGCAGTCGTCTCCGTACTCCTCACGGTACTCTCGGTCCTCGTCCGTCTGGTTCTCCTCCGAGTCTGCAAACGATCGCATTATAGTCGCGTTAGCGACGTCTATAGAATAGCACAAAGAAGCAATGAAAATTCAAAAGAGCCAAATGCACTCAAATGTGGGTTCATTGTGTAGAGCTCGATTTTAGATGAATTTTGGTCCTAGTCTTGTATTTTTCTAAGGTCGTATGAATTAGTTATGTATTTCCGAAGATTAAATTAAGGCTGATTAATTTAGGGCTGACACGTGTCACACTGTGACTGGTTCACGTGGCATGTAGGGACACAGTTGGTGTGGTGGTCGGAGAGGTCACCGAAGTGGTCGGAGAGCTCACCGACGTGGTCGGTGAGATCGCTGAGGTGGTCGGAGTGGTCGCTGAAGTGGTCGGTGGGCTTGCCGAGGTGGTCAGAGAGATTGCGGGGGTGGTCGGAGAGCTTGCCGAGGTGGTCGGAGAGATCGCTGAGGTCCCCGACGCTGGCGTGGTCTCTTCATCGGCATGACGTCAGCATGGCGCCATCTGAGCTAAACCGCGACTGACAAGTGGGTCCGGGGTCAAACGGTGTCTGACAGGTGCGGCGCGGTTCATGCAGAGCCGGTCTATGAAGGACTTGGTCCACTTACTCCTTCCCAGTGTTCGTTTCACGTGCACCAAGTGCTCGGACGTGTGGCCGGCGAGGGGAAAATCCCAATCTTCTTCCCCGTCGTGCTCTCGCCGGTGGTGAGCTCACTGGCGAGCCCCTCCAGCGACGCGGGTGTGCAATTAAGGTGGGCAAAAGCTTGGCCATGCCATAGCGGGTGTCCCGGTGAAGTTAATTTGGTGGTCGGGCGGCTCCAGTTGGCTGGCCACGGTGAACGGCGGTCCTCGTACACCGGCGAGCGGCGGTGTGGTGGCTGTGGCGGTGGTACCGGAGATTGGTGGTGCGCACGAGCT